GTCCTGGAGAAGCAATCCCCGTGGCACGTACACGTAGCAATTCAATGCTGACCTTGAACCGATGGGGCCCAAGATTCAGAGCGAGTAGTGATATGACTGAGCACGGTGCAAAGAATCCCAGAGAAGGCGCAGAGGTGCATAAGCACTGTTCAGTTGCTGCATACTTGGACAAGGCAGTCCCGTCTCTGCGGAATGCAGTCCGCGAATTTGGCAAATGTATTTGAGAGAGTCGTGGCGCTAGCCTTTGCCACTCAAATGCATAGCACTCTGGGTGATGGCCCCGCATCCCGATCATCGGATCCGTGCATTTGCAAAAAATATAGTGCTGCGCTCCCACATTTCAGCACGATGGCCGAGGCCACGGAACAGCGCGCAGCGGATCAGATTTATCCCTAGAGAGAGTAACTATTCGATTTCTCGAGGGTACGACGCAAAAAGAAACAAAAACAGCTGGCGGGGCGATGATGGACGTTGACCGAGGATTTTTAAGGCTCGACGGCCGTTTTGGGCGATCTGCATCCGCGATTCATCGCCCCGAGCGTCAGCGTCGGCAGCTTAAGAGCAACGTCGATCCCCGCCTGCAGACACCGACCCCCACGATCTGCGCAGCGACCTCGTCGACGACGCCGACAACAGCATACCTTTGGATTTCCTAGAATAGCGCCCCCGATCTATTATCAACAGCGGCGAGATTGCTTAGACCGCAATATCGATATTGTTCCGCCTAGGTACGCTAGCGACCACCCTTCACCTCGTGCAACAAGATTTTTCTGTCCGCTTGCTTCTTTTCTGCCGTCGCTATGCCCTATTTTTGATTTGGTCACTTATACACTTGCATTACCGCAACAGGACTCGCTCTATTTCATAGTCTGAAGCATCAACGCCCGTTGGCCCCACGCAGACTTTTCATAGACCTCCACCTCACACCTTACTCTCTCCTCACCAAGTACCACTATGGCCACTCCTCCCGTTCCCCCTCGTCCAGCAGAATCGTATGAGCAACCAGATTCGTACGGGTACTACCCACGTCGCCAACAATCTGGTGGTGCACCCCCTCTTCCACCCCTGCCACCCGGCTATCAGGCAGAATCGAACTACGATCTCCAGCCTCACTATTCTGATCCTCTCGTTGCACCACGGCCTCAAAAGTCGATGTCATCGGCACCAGCTGACGTAAGCGAATATACCACCTCGATGCGTGTTTGTTGGGAGAGACACGATTAACCTATTTTCGTCTGACATCCTAGATGACACGCTCCCTAGAATCTCAGGTTGGAGGGACTCCAACTTTTTCTTTTCCCACTCCGAACCAGCCCGTTTCTTACGGGTTCGCCGTGCCACCACCCCCACCCCCACACGACCCTTACCGTCGTGGTACATCTCCCGCACCTGGACTCCCGCCACAAAGTAGCAGCTACTATTCCATCCCGCAGCCAGCGCCCTTCAACGGCCAGCCGTTAAACTTCCACCCGACTCCTCACGCCCACCGCGCCACATCACCTAGACCTTTACCAAACCCAGGTGTCCGACCCCAGTCTCCTCCGTGGCCAGGTGCATCTCCCTACCTCGATCCATCAGCACGTCCTCAAGGTGCAGGCACGGCATACCGTCCACAGAGCCACTACCCCGACAACAGATTATCGCAGTCGTTTTCTGACCTTTCGTTCTCTTCTCCACCCCCAACCGAGACTGTCCTGCCAGGTCCACCCTCAATGTCTCCCGCTCCAGCTGATCCCAACAAGACACCGGAACTGACGGTGTCGTTCCCCACGATCTCGTCGCTGATAGCAGGAAGTCAGTCTGTGGCCTCGGCAGATCCCGCGCGCAAGCTGGCATGGTCCAAGGACGTCCTCAATCTCGTCGACCGGACCCAGCAGGCATCGGGTGATGCTACCCGCATTGCTGATCCAGAGCTTGCTCGTCTCGCAGACACCGCAGTCCAATACATCCAGGCGATTTGCAGTGCGTGGTCTCAGGGCGCACAGCAGCCGCCGTACATCCCCGAGGCGCTGTACCTTCGAGGCACCCTTTCGTCTTCCGGAGCGTACCCAAACCAGCTCGCTCGTGATCCTCGGGCAGCTTTTAAAGACTTTGAAAGTTCCGCCAGGATGGGCTTCCACGCGGCTTGGTTCAGACTCGGTAGGGATTACGAGGCCGTGGGCGACCTATCTCGCGCCAAAGATTGTTTCGAAAGAGGGGTTCGCCTTCGAGACAAAAGCTGCCTTTACGTGAGTCTATAGTGTCCATTGATGCCATAAACCAACGTTTAACCCATACATCATAGCGAATGGGCATGGCCAACCTACTTGGCCAGCTGACACTCCCAGCCAACCCAGCCGGCGGCCTCCCTCTCCTCCAACAAGCTGCCGATCTCGCCGATGTCGAAGTGCCGCAGCCGTCATACGTCTTTGGTATGCTTCTCCTGGGCGAGTTCAACCAGATCGAAATCCCCAATTCGATCCTCCATTCCACCCTCCCGCCTCCGTCCGCGCAGAACCCCGATCCGCGCCAATCGGAGGCACGTCGGCGGATCGAGCGTGCGGCGTATCTCGGGTTCCCGCCGGCGCAGTACAAGTGTGGGTGGTCGTACGAGCACGCCAAGATGGGATGCCCCTTCGATCCGCTGCTGAGCGTGCAGTATTATAGTCTTGCCAGTCAGCAGGGTGAGACAGAAGCTGATATGGCGCTCAGCAAGTGGTTCCTTGTCGGTGCGGAGGGAGCGTTCGAGAAGGATGAAGGGCTAGCGTTCACGTTTGCTGAAAAGGCGGCCAAGAGGGGATTCCCGAATGCCGAGTTTGCAATGGGGTATTACTTTGAGGTCGGGATTGGAACCCAAAAAGACATCGCGCTGGCGAAGAGGTGGTATCAACAGGTTTGTTGTCTCGGTATCGTTTTACTTGTGGTTCGGTACTGACTTAGCCTGTCAATAGGCTGCTTCACACGGGAATACGGACGCGCCTGATCGACTCAAGGCGCTCGCACAGCCGACGCCTGCGATGCTCTCCCGCAACGAGCACGAGGCTCTCACCGACGTCACGCTTGTTAGAAAGCGGACCAACGCGAAGGAGGCATCGGCAGCAGCAGGTCGTGTCGCCGGAGGCAACAGGCTCAGTGGAGGGAAACAGGCATTGGCAGCTGTTAATGAAGCTGCTGAAGCTGCGGGTGCGGGTCGCCGTCCACCATCGCAGGGCGGGCCTCCACCAGGGCAGTATCCGTCGGGGCCCCCGCGACGACAGCCTTCAGGCGGGCCGCCTGCGCCCCCTCATGGCGGACCCGGCGGACCTGGTGGGCCTGGTGGAGGGCAGGGAAGACATCCGAGTGGATCGTACCCGCAGCCGCAGGGGCCTGGTCCGGCGGGGTACCAGGGCGGCCCGCCCCAGGCGCATCAGCAACAGCAGCAGCGTCCTCCGAGGGGATACTCTCTGGCGGACCAAGCACCTCCGCACCAACATCAACACCAGCACCAGCGGCCTTCGCCATCGCACCATAACACCGCACCTATCAAGCAGGGCGGTCCACCGGGATCCGCCGGAGGCCCTCCTCCTGCGGCTTCCGCGCCCCCGCCTTCGGCACCCGCTCCTGCACCCGCTTCCTCTGGCCCACCGAAGAAGCCCGGCCCAGCGACGTTCGCCGATATGGGAATCCAAGGCACAACGCTCGAGAAGGACGATTGTGTGATCATGTGATCGCTTTCCAAGGTTGCCGCGTTAGCGGAGTCCCATTTGTCTCCCATTTGTACATTTTTTACTCCACTCGCTTTTGCTTTCGCTTTGAGGATTATAAAACTTTTGAATCTCTCCCCCATCCCGTTCACGTGCCCCATTACAAAGCGCGTTTCTCACCGCTGCTCTCTTCACTGAGGACGAGCTATGATACCTTTTTTTTTCAAGTGTAAGTGGAATATGCGCGTAACGCGTGATTAGATAGTATTTCGCACTTGTGGATCAATCCAAAAATTAATGATCGTAAATGCTTTGCACCGAACATACGAGCGCTCCTTTGTACAGATTTAATTTAACTCGCAGATCTGCCGGAGGTTGTCATCGTATGGCCGCCATAATCTATGCAGAGCGTGGTAGAATGCGCGCACTCGGCCAGGCACTCGGGGATCGTACTACTGCGGGGATGGTCTCCCTAGCGAAGTGTGGGACCGCGGTGCCTGGTAAAGCGAAGCCTAGCCCACTGATGGGGATGTGTAGGCAGGTGCGGGGATGGGGGAATAAACGCGAGCCCGGGGGAAGAATACAGGCATTTCACCAGTTGAAGAAGCGCACAGACGGCAGAGCCAGGATCCCGAATCAAAAGACCGCCTTCAATAGGGTAAAAGTGGAGTACTTACTTTGCGTGGGTTTTGTAGCTGTAGGGCGGCCGAGGCGAACAGATGAAGCCATTATAAGGCACCACCCATTTAATAGATAGAAAGCTGTAGTTCATGGTCGGAGATGCGGGAGGGGGACACCTGGGGGCTGGGGGCCGGGGCAACGGCCACCTCGAAAGGCGCACTGAGCATCTACCCCCGAAGTTCGGACTTGGGCTCGCCCTTGATCGATTGCCTCGACTCAGTGTAGGTAGGACAATTGGATCATCGTACAAGAGGCATTTCTCGCCCTGTGTTCCCAGAAGTTGAATCGTCTACCTCTACGATGCTGGCAGCTTTTCCGGGACTGCCCCACGTTGTTGGACCACCGCGAAGCTGGCGCTTTGGAACGGAAGGATAGTCGGGGATCTGTGATTCAAGGGTGCTGAAAACAGGGCTCTTTTGGCTAAGCAATCTGGTAATTAAAAAAAGAGGGATCGAAGGCATGTGATCAAAGACGCGAGAAGTACGACTCCTATGTGAATCGAACGCACGCCTGAGGGGCTCCAACATCCACCAAAGCCAAGGACAACCATTTTTTCGGGTGTCGAGTCTAAGTCTCTAAAATTCTTGACTCTATTTTTCTGTGAATCTTCTCATAAAAAGTCAGCGCCGAGGGGTTGCGATCAAAAACAAAATGAAACGACCCCTGTGTGATTCGAACACACGCCCTCAAAGAGGAACCGCTAACTATGGTAATAGCAGGCGATCGCGTTAACCACTCCGCCAAAGGGTCATGTAAGCTCTGGGCCATTTCATGTTTATAGCACAAGCATAGGTCTCAACAGAAGTAAGCAGCCTACTTACTTAAGTTCCAGCATGCATGGCTAAGATAGGCCGCACTCATACTCATACAAGCCCGGATGCAATGCATAGGCGGTACCATTACTTCTGCTAAGGATCCTCCTGTAGTAATATTCGGGAAAATCTGTACTATTAGATGGTACAAAATCATCAAGTGAACACTCTGATGGCTCAGTTTTGGTTAATTCTATGTAGTTGTTGTGCAGAAGGAGGTGAAAAGTTCAGCCTGGACAAGAGGCTTTGGCAAGCGTGACAAACCCGGCAATCCGGAATCTAGCCTATCCGGAGCCTTGAAGCGCGAAGCTCAGCTTTTTCAACACCACCTAAGAAGAGTTAACTATGCTGCGTCGCAGGAAATCAAGAGTAGCCAATCTCGGAGGATATGCTATGCCAGGTGTGCCAAGGAAGTGAGCGCTTGAGGAAGAAGAAAAAGAAAGCGTATGGAAAACAAGGCTGTCTGTCTAATTTTGTTGGCTTAACTTGAAAATTTTCTTCAACAGACGCCTCCCAGCCCTCTGGCAGATGCCACCACACCCCTCCCCAGCACCTTAGCCCTCCCACAAGGCCTTAAGGTCGCAGAGATGGAAGGCGATGAGTGCAGCAAGAGCTCGGCAGGCTCTGAATCGGACATGTTGTCAGGAGTCGACGACGGAGGCCAAGGGCCAGCAACGGAAACAGGAGGACGCCGACGGAGAGCGACGCGGAGTGTGTGGGAGCCAAGGCGAGCAGCGCGGAGGATCTCCAGTGGCCCAAGCGTACAAGGACGTAGAGATAATCACACTGCGGACCAGGGAATAGTGGAAAGGCGCTTTGTAGCATGAGGAAATGGAGTCCTTTTTTTTTTTTTTTTTTGGAGTAAAGGGGGCTGTTCTTATTGTCGGCATGAGACTACCTAAAGTACAACCTAGGTGACGTGGACCAAGACCCTATATATGTATGTACGAGAGAAAAACCCCAGTAAGGAAAGAGACCTAATGGGGAAACTGGTGTTAACTAAGTTGACGGAGTTATAAGTGTGTGGTTACATTCCCCGCGGGGTCGGTAACAGAAGAACCGGAAACATTAATAGAC